ATGGATATGACTGTCAATCAACTGAGTCAGGGAAAAGGAACAGAAAGGAATAGGAAGACAAGAATGAAATGGAACATCAAAATTACATTTCATATATATATGGAAGTGACTTAATGGAAGACTATAGTTGACTGCATACTATACTGACATGACATACAAAACAGACGAAATATAATTTACTATATACAGAGCCTATAAATAATGCCTCACACAGCAATTTTGAGTTCAGATTGGCACTGGCACACATTTCTTTTCTTATTATTGAAGATTAGTTCACACAGGTCACTAGGTCATCTATTGCATGCAAGCTAAGAAAAAAACAAACATCACTGAGGTGCAAATATTTTTTGGAGCAACAGGGAAAAAAAATTGGACAACTAAAAATGAAAAGTGAATCCTCCCTACCCTAGAACTCTAAATACAAGTAATACAAAAACGGTGCAACAGATTCACTACCATCATGATAAGCAACAATTTGATATTTTCTTATTTTCAGCTGGCAACTCTTCTGTATTAGTCAGCATTAAGTTTTAGTTTCGGTCTGAATGCAACTGCCAAAAGCCCATTTTAAGTTTAATTCAAATGTAACTTGCATATTATGCTTTCCAAGAGCACTGAATTCATGTGCCAGAGATGTGCTCCAAAGGTATGATATAACTGATGAAAGATATTTTGTTTTCTTTTGTTCACTGTTTAAATGGTTTTCTATATATAATCTGTGTAGAAAAAACTGCTTCTCCATCTTTAACGTTAGTATTCGTGTTCTCTGTAGTCAGTAAAATTATACAGACTTCATCTGATAAAAGTGGTATGGTTAGCTTCAATACAAGCAAGTTATCTTGTCGTTTTAGAAGTAAGGATTAAGTTAAACTAGAACAACAAACCTGAATCCAAGGTGATGGACTTTGGAGGTTTAATAGGATAGAACACAAAGGGAAATATGGCTCCAGGAATCTGGTTTTGTATCTAATAGGGGTAAGGACAGGACAAGACACAGCACATTAGCTTTTCAATAGAGAAATAGTTTAAAATCAGGACTAACAGAAGAATTATGACCATTACCTGTAGCATTCCACCAATTCAAAAGCAGAAAAACGTGCCACTATTGTGGTTCAAAATATGTCTATTTTCAAAATGAAATAATGCAATCCACATAGTCTAGAATAGTTTCTCTAAGTTGGTGGTAAAAAAGGTCCACAGAATTTTTGCAAAGGATTTATTTCTAAAAACTTGGAAGATATGTAAGACAAGAAATTGGACCTGTTTTTTTGTTGGTTGTAAAGAAAAGTCACACGAAAAAGCATGGAAGATGAATGGTAAATGTTTTTCCTGAACAGCCATAGCTGTCCAGGTTTTTTTTTCTGAAAGCATTTAAGTAGTATATCCAATGATTTAGTATATCAAAAGATTCAGAAGCACTGATGTAAAAGCCAACATGTACAATCAAATTCATGATATGAAAAATCCAATCAATTCTATCAATAAATCCAAGTATCTATAAAAGTTGCTTTTTCTTAATAAATAATTCATTGTTTTTTGACAAGACTCACCTGTATCCTGTAAATTTGAATTCTGAAAGACTTCTGATGTGTAGATGAACTGTATTCTACTTTTAAAGCTGGCAGATAATTCCTTCTGATAGGAATCTCATTTGGTTGCTGAATTTTCATGTTCATTCCATTAGGAGTTAAACATACCTAGTGCATTAAAGAAAATTTGGTATGCTACATGTTTGAAAAGACTTTTTCATAATATACTTCAAAATTTACACTGTTCTTTAACATTGTAAAGAAAGCTTAGCAGTAAAAGTTTTGCAGCTTTTAAGTCAGATGTCATAACTTTCCTTCATTTAATCAAATTTTGTCATAAATTTTAATAGAATTAAAACTACAAAATATTGCATTATTGGGGGGATTACTGGTGTTTATTACATGGCCTTGTGAAGGAAAGGCAGGAAAGTATATTATAGCAGTCTATGTCTGAGATAAAAATTGTTTCATTTATCTGTAACATTTTTATTTTACCTACAATTCTAATTAATATCTAGAATTTATCTAGAGACAAGGACAGCAGTGTTTTGAGTGTAATGTGCTTCTGCATTCCAAAATAATTTCTCAATATTTTTTTCACATGTATATGGTTGAATGACACAGTTGAATTAACCCAGAATAAGGCACTTGAAAAGGACAAGATTTTGTGCTAAAATAAACAAACCAACCAACCCACGCACTTCCCCAGTATAACAGAGGAAGGAAAAGCAAAGCTTCTTTACTATAGCTTAATGCTTATTTAGTCCCATAACGTGCAAAAGTGTTACACTTCAATTTCAAAGTCAGAGACTAGCAACAAAAAGTCTATAGCAAGCTTTCAAATATTCACAGATTTTTTTTTCCAAGTATTTTTTTTTTCTAGACAGAGGTAAGGAAGGGTTATGAAATGGATTAGAAAAATAATTAATCTCAATTTTCACTGGAAGTTTATTTGAAGATAGCAAAATTGATACATCATCTTATTCCTGTGTATACATGTAAACAACAGAATTAAAGAACTATCAGTATTACCAAAACATTTGATTCCAACTCAATAATCTTATTTTCTGAAGGAGTTAGCTCACTGTACTCTTTGAATTCTTGTTCTAATTTATCAGTCTGCTTAACACTCATTGGTCTCCATCTTGATTTCTTCTTGGGTTTTGTCTCCCAAACCACATCAGAACTTTGAAAAGAAAACAAAGGACCAAGAGAGAAGAATTAGCTATTTCAAAACAAGTTTTACCTGTTGTAGTATGGCTTTTAACAGGTTATAACTATGGAATGAGAAACCACATTACAAAGCACTACTGTAGTAAATGAAAGTGACCAAAATCACCCACTGCCTTCTTGGTACTAAGTAGAAGCCAGCCTCTTCCATATAATGAAAAAAAGAAAACTTAAGAAGTCTGTATTACTCCCCACTTTGATGAAGATGGGTATGTAAAGAGAGTTAATCAGGAAGCTCAGTTTCAACTGTACTGCCATCCATTATTCCACAATCTCAGTGTAGTTTTCTGCATATAGTACTGCATGTATTTTGGCACAGCTGAGTTTACTAGAAATTCAGAACTTCAAGTCAAGACAAAATGCCTCCTGAACTGCCTTATTTTTGACAGCTAGTTTCTTCACTCTTTTTGTCTAAATTGATAGACGATTATTTTGGTTTACATATGCTTCCTCTACTGGTGTTATAGTAGTTATTTCTGGTGTTGCTTGGTTGGGTGTTTGTTTTTTTTTTTGATTGTTTGGTTTTGTGGTATCCTAAAAACAGTTCTTTTCTTTTGTCTCTTACTTTTATTATTAATAAAACAACTAAATAACTAAACATCCTTTAAGGGCACTGAACTCTCTTCTGCTTAATTCCACTGCTTATGTGAGATGCTCTTGTGTCTGATTTCACCTTACAGCCAAACTGAAGGAATGCTATGAGGCACAAAGCAACACTAATCGGACAAGTGGAGGGTATTTCTTCTTTCCACAAGTTACTCTATAGCCCACAAATACATATCTTTCCAGACATAGCCCCCTAATCCAATCTTTTTTAGCTACATCCGTGTCTGTGTTCAGATACATCAGTGGCAGAACTACCAAAAAGGTGAGCTAAAGGGCAAAACAACAGCTACAAAATAGAGTACTACCTTAAAATTGCTGGAAGCCTTCTCCTTTTTCATCTCCCACCTGCTCTTTTAAATGTTCTGTGATCCTAGGACTGGTGTAGTGAAACTTGTTTCTGCATCAAGGCAGATACAACCTGCCTTTGCTGTTCTTTTGTTTTGTTTTGTTTTGGGTTTTTTATAATGAGACATTCACAAATGGGAACATTCTGAATAACAAGGTTCTTTTCACCATATCTAAGAAACGATCTCTTATCTTCAGAAATAGCTTTCAGTAGTTTGACATCCATTCAGGGTTTTAACAAGAAAACAGTATCAGCTGTAAGCACTGCTAAACTATGGATAACTGCTTCCAAAAAACACTCATTCAGTGAAATCTCAACACTACTTTGAATCTAGGCAATTAGCTGTCACTTTTAATGGAGTGTTTCCACTGTTGAGATAGTTGCAGAGTTCACTTTCTCAGGTGAGAGCAAGGATGGGGATTTTCAATGTGAATACATGAAGTATATGTATTATGTAAAATTTCTGCTTCTTTGTTTTGCAGTGCAGTGCAAAGAATTAATTAAAAGAAAAAACTGTACTCTAACAAATTCATGGCTATGAAGATACAGAAGTGTATGGACTATGGGAATGATTACAAGTGTCCCTTGAGCATTCTAAAAAGCCCTTGTTTGAATATATGACAGTACACATTTCTGAAGCAATACAGTCTCTTTTCTGCTTTCCTCTGAAGTGTTATAGTAGAAAATAAAGGATTAGAGCCTTGGAGTCGCCATAATTTCTGAATCAAAACTAAAAAGAACTACAAGCTGCCACTTCATCAATATTTTCAACACAGAATTCAGCAACTTATTTCTGTAACAAAGACAGGAAAATCCACTAGCAAAAAGCACCCACAGAACTTACTCTTTATAACTCTTTTATCACTCCCCAGACTACATGGACAGGAAATGCTTCTGTTCAATGTATTGGGAAGTTCACCACATAGAGTTACAATTATGTGTTGCAAAGCCATGTACATCCAAATACAGAAAGCAAATGCATTAACACAAAACACAAAACATTTCTCATTACAATAAGAAAACATAATTATTTCATTCTAAATACTGTTACCCAGACCTTTTTTCCCCTCTTCCATTGCACCCCAAAATGAAATTCAGCAAGTGAAAATACCTGAAGATAAACATTTTAGGCTGTTGGCATACAAAATAAGTTACCTCGTAATTCCAATGTAGGACACCTCTTGCTTTGTATAATTATTAACCAATGAAATTCCAACATCTTGCAAAGACAGAACAATTTCTTGTTCTGCTAGTTCCAGCTTTACACTTTCATATGTCAATTTAAATACATTCTCATCTTCGGTGATTAGGACAATACGCTGCAAACCTTCAAAAAATGACACTAAATAGACCACTTTTCTACACTCCAGGCTGAGTATTTCCATTTTATCCTACAAACAAGAGAGGAAAAGTTATTCATTCTTCTGCCCCACAAGCAAATGGACAACAACAGAAGGTATTTCTTATAGGCACAGGAAAAGAATAATTTTTTAAATTATGATGTTTTACAGCAGTATCTCTCACACACACACATTTCTGAACTAAAGACAATGCTAACTGGCACAACCTCCAGCAAACACATAGTTGCTACTGTTGTGTGTTTGAACCTCGTATATGAGATTCCTGATCATGCTCATTATATATGGAATTTCACACATACACCAATGAATAAGATAATAAATTAGACAGCATTAAAATGATATTTCAATAATAAACATACCTCTTTTGGGGTAATCTCCTCAGTTCTATTTCCACATTTCCATTTCAATTTTCTAGATCCTGCTGGGTCTGCCCAAGTATAAAGTACTGCCTTATTTGGCTGGAGACAGTCTTCCAATTCACTGAGGGAGCTAGAACAAAGTAATACTAAATTAAAACATCAATAAATATTTTGTGTCAATGACTTCTGCATTCTAGTATTTCAGTAACAACACTTTATTTTTTTCAACTAATTAGAAGGAAAACTTAAAACAACATTGTGCATGAAAAAACATGCACAAAAACACTCTCAGCACAGTAATAAAACCAGCATTTATACTTCAAAATATATACATATACTTTAGAAATAAAGTATACTCTTAAAGAAAATTAGTATCTAAAATCTGCTGTGTATACTTTAGAAATAAACTGTATACTTTAAAGTATACACAGTAGATATAAAATACTCATTTTCTTTCCCACATCTGATTAACAGGGAAACATGTGGATAAAAAAGAACCAGAGAGTGGAGCCTACAAGCAGAAAGGGAAAGTCAGGATTTGTGCTATCTAACATAAATATTCCAAGAGAATAAAAGTGTATTCAAGATCTATTATTTAGGAAAGGTTTTCCCTAAGTGATTTGCTGAAGGGAAAAAAGTGCAATATGCAGTATCTCGATACAGTGGATATTTTCAAACAGATTTAAAACTCCATTCCTCCTCCCATACAGTTAAAACAGTGACAGACTTGTCTCCTCCAGCTCTCTGAGAGGAGCCTACCCCAGGAGGGGAAGTGGAGAGGAAGCTGCTAATCTCTTCTTCTTGGTACTCAGCAACAGGATGCATGAAAATGGTTCAGAGCTGCATCAGGGAAGGTTTAGACAGGACTTTAGGAAGCATTTCTTCACCAAGAAGGTGGTCAAACACTGGAACAGGCTTCCTAGAGAGGTGGTCAATGCTCAAAGCCCATCAGTGTTTGAGAGATGTTTAGACAAATGCCCTTAATAACATGCTTTAACTTTTGGTCAGCCCTGAAGCAGTCAGGCAGTTGGACTAGATGATCATTGTAGGTCCCTCCAAACTGAAAAGTTTTCTCCACGGTTCATTACAAAAGTTACATAAGTACTTACTAAACTTACACTAGGAATGCCCAAAAGCCAGCTAAAAAAGATAAATTTACTGAAATTTACCGATAAAAACCAAAGCAAACAATTGACTGTGTTCTTCAGACAAACAGGAACATACAGCTTCAAGCTTATTTTGACTAGCAACTCTTTCATTTTTCAAGTAAAAATCTTTGAACAACACTGCTCTGACTGACTGAAAGGAAAAACTGGTAGAGGCTGTTTGGCTTTTAAAAAGAAACATGTCAAGATTGGAGTAGATTTTCTTACACTCTAAGCACTGCACAGAGTAGCAAAGCATTACAACAACATGCCAGCTTGAGAACAGAATCGGCATAGCTGCATGCAGGTGCAGAACTAAATTTTCACTGATAGTAGGTAGAATGTATTTGTTAAAATAATCTTGGTTTTGGTCTGGGTTGACAAAATTTATGTAACTACCTTCCTATTTCTCAGTCCATTCTCTCATCTCTTCCATAACTTTTTAACTCATTCTTTCAGCTGAATCTCAACTAAATACGATAGAACAGTAAAAGTCCCAAATCGAAATACATTTACAACCCATTTGTTATTTATTCTGCACAAACAGCACCTGCAGAGTTCCAGAGAAGCCAAGCACATCCTTTACCACTATGAATGTAAGGCAATGTAGAAGGCAAGGCCACACAATTAATATAAAACGAGACTAGAGAGCTTTTTTAGTTCACAAAGCAGTTTCTTTACTTATAGAAACAATAACCTAGAACTACCTAACACTGCTCTGTTAACATTTCACTCCTTTAATTTATAAAACAAGAGATTTTTGGGTTTAGTCGGCCATTTCAGTTCACGTCTCCATGCAGACATTCACACTAAAACGCTTCTTACATACCTTTGTCCATACTCAATAATTTCTTCTTTAGTATGGTTTATCAACAGAAAAGGAGCTGCGCCATCATGGTAATTAGAAAATGTAATCACTGTAGAATGCTCAGTCAGGTTAACATCCACTGTAATTCCTCCAAGCTATCAGATGTGAAAATTATTAAGTACATAATAGTGGAATTAATTTCTACTAAAGCAAATGTAATTTAAATTTCTTTGCAATCTTTGATGGTTTTATCTTATGAGAGTAAAATAGTCAAAAAAACCACCTGTTTTAACATATCTTTAAAATATTTCCTTGATCTAGCTACTACGTAACAGGCATTGCACATAGTAATAAAAAATATGGAGGCATTCTGTAGTGTCAAAATTTAGGCTGGCAGTAGAAGAATCTTCCTTGAATCATTCATACTCATTAAGGCCCTCCAAAACATTCTACTATTATAAACACTCATCTATTTAAAAACTACTGCTACATGAGACTATATGCAATGCAGAAGTAAATTCAGTGGAGTCAAAATTACTTTTCAAAGTAACTTCATGCTACTTCAGCACTAATGTAATTACTCCTCAGACTCAGCTAGAGAACACCTAGCAAAACAATCTGTGTTTTAGCTTCTATAGATCTGCTTTGCAGAGAAGTGCTTTAAAAAGGAACACCGACTTATAGCTGTGTGTACACAGAGGAAAGAGAAAGCATGAGCATGAGAATAATACACTTGCATAGACATAATCTTTTCACCAGCTAGGGTTTGCAATACTTGATTGTACGGGAAGACAAAGTTTTGAGAATGGAAATGAAACAGTGATTCATGTTGTTTTACATAATTTGCCAAGGCAATCAATTACCTTGTTGTCCAAATGCAGTAGCAGACAGTTTTCTTGCTTATCAAAATTTATCCTCTTTGGGGGGAGATCGGAATTTTCAACTCTAACAAGCAGTTTGTTGGCATCATTTTCAGGCCAAAAGGGAATGCACTACAAAAAAACCCCACAAAACTCAGGTATTTTAAAGTGAGAAAACAAAACAGATGTTAAATGGCGTTCACTTTAGCTCAAAATTCTACACAAAAGTGTAGTGAGTTGGGTCAGGAACTCTACTAAAGAACTCAAAAGTAATTACTTACCTGAACACAATAAATTTAAAGGTAGTAAGAATACAGTAAGGAAACTAAGGAGGTAAGGAGCTAAAAGTGAAAACAGTTAGGTTGCATATTCACATGAAGAAGTTGATTTAAAAAGGATAACACAAAATTCAGAGTGTAAACCTCAGCATGGCTACACCACCAGAATGGTCAGGCTCGTTAAAAAAATAAACAGAAATCCACCAGTGTTCTTCCATCAACACACTGCTTGCTAAATACATATACATTAAAAATCAATCTTACAGTGACAACCAATGACAAAAAGCAGTATTAGCATAAATACGCCCCATAGTAACTTGAGTATGCAGACATCAATTTACTAGCTGTTCTTTTGAAATGTTTTTTAGATATAAATACACACATGTATACACACACACATATATATACACACAAGAAGGAAGCATTAGGCAGCTAAATCAGAGAGCATGTTCTGCTATTCACATCCACAATTGAAATTCACAGTCATTCTGGGTTTAAAAAAATCTTTATTCAATAGCTTACATAAATGGATAAGACAAGGAGGCAGGGAAGAGTTTTAATTGTAACTAAGGAAAAGTTTCCAACCAATAAAAAGAGTTCTGCCATGGGAACAAGTTATGATTAACAATAATTCTCAAACAGCAATAGCCAAAATCTGTTTAGATAGACCAGTTTTCCTGTATTTCAAACTGTTCAATTGCAACATCCAGAACTTCTCCAACGTAAGTTAAGAAATCAGGTATTTATATGTAACTGTGTCTGAATCCTAGAATTAAATATTCAATGGTGCCAGTCTAGTTCACCAACTTACCATGCCACTAAGTTCCCTTTCCCATTGTTTCTCACACCACAGGAAGCAGGAAGACAAAGGAAAAAAATATAGTTAAACAGCAAGATTGAAGGCGTTATCTACACCAACATGTATCCCACAGACAAAATATAAATTGCATTGCAAACTAGCACAAAATACAGAACGTACGTTTTGTCATGGAAATTACAAGAGCTCAAAGGAAATCCGAGGAGGATCAGTCAAGAGTAAATGAAAGTTTAAAATCAAAACCGAAATAAGTAAAAAGGACTGGCTAAACCACAAGTTACAGGATCAGCTACAGAGAACTGAAAAACAATTTTTTGCAATAGTCTTTAGCCTCAGAATGCATCACAAAATGATGCTGTTTCCAAATATTTTGCCATACACTTGCTGAGTACTTCACTAGACACTAATACATCAACTTCCATTTCATAATAGGATCTTTAATTTATGTTTAGCAGTGGAAGCATGCACAGTCTTTGGCAATGTTTTCTTTCTTTTCTTTAAGGATGTATGTTGGTCAGCTGCCTTGCTGACCTAATATATACCTAATTCATATGTCTTGCTGACCTATACTGCACCTAATTCAAAGGACTGTCTTTGGCAAGCCATTTCATACTAATCACATTCCAGCAACTTCTATTGCAACCTTTGAAGTACAATGGATTTTTCTAAAAATAGAAATAAAAATTTCTGATAGATTGACTGCTTTCCAGACAGAGAATATTTACAAGAAGAAATGAGTTCTACACAAGGATTGTTTTTTCCCCCTGAGAAGCCAGGCTGTTACTAAGAAAGAAGAGTGGATTAAAAAAAAAAAAGCAGCAGGAAGGACTCTGCTTAACTTAAAATGACAAAAATAGAATGAGAGGAGAGGGGAGCAAGCAAAGATACAAATTAACATTTCAACAAGCTCATTTTTTTTGCAGATCACTCTAATGTAAAAGAGTAAAGTGAGAAGTACTCCACAAGATCACACGCATTAGTTAAAAAAATTAAAAATCTAGGTTAGCTGGATAGCAGAGTTCCGTATCTCAGGAACATATTTACATGGAAACTTGTTCTGAGAAATCTCTCCCAGATGCCCAAAGACAAACCAGTAGTGACTGGACACTACCTAGATTTAGAAGAGATAAGAAACACTGGATTGAGAAACTGGCTTAACAAAGGAACAACTTCAGCAGACTTAACTGTCACAACAGAGACTTTTAGGAACTGCTTATCAAAAGGGAAAATATCAACACAATGTGGAAAGGCAAGCAATTTTGGGAGTAAAGTGTGGAATAATTTAGGAGGGGACACAGATTTCCTTCTAATCTTCCAAAAGATTAGGGGTGCTCCTAAAATCTACAAGGTTCTCCTTTGATACTTGATAACGCAAAGGAGACTAAAATAAATTAATATAATTATGAAACACCTGAGCAACACTGACACTTGCGGGACATGCTAGAAAATTCTGTAAACATATCAAAATACAGCCAACACGGGAAAAACACAGATTATAAAGAATCATGGAATTGTTCAGATTGGAAAACTGCTAACCTAGCACTGACAAGTCCACCATTAAACCACGTCCCTAAATTTCTTTTAAATACCTCCAGGGACAGCGACTCAACCACTTCCCAGGCCGGCCTGTTCCAATGTGTCTGATAACCTTTTCAGTGAAGAAATATTTCTTAATATCAAATCTAAACCTCCCCGGCACAACTTGAGGCCACTTCCTCCTATCACTTGTTACATGGGAAAGACACTGACTCCTACCTCACGACAACTCCCCCATATACAGGACCATCCCATCACCTCTCCTTCCTTGCTTATCCCTTCTGGAGAGTTTATATCCATACATTGCAGCACTCCAGTTGTGTGAGTCATCCCATCATGTTTCCATAATCACAACTATATCATAGTTTTCCTGCTGCACAATGGTTTCCAGTACCCCATGTTTAATGCCCATGCTGCATGAACTGGTGTAGATGCACTTCAGTACAGCTATTGACCTCACCGCCTTTTTGGAGGGAGAAGCCCTAAATTCTATGGGACCATTCTCAGGCACTTCCTATATAGGTTGCAATGTATTTGAACTTTCAAAACTATTACCTTTGAATACATTTTGCAGATGATTTCAAAAGTTTCCGTAAAATAATTCAATTTATTCTAATAACAACTCTGTATCAAATGAAAACCACAAAACACCAAGTAATAAAATCTGACTCTATTTTCTTGGCAGAAGAAGTTAGATATGAAGTAGCCTATGCTGCTACACATGAACCTTTGCCATCTCAGAGCTTTATGAACAAGCTAGATGAGGAATCATGAATGTAAAGAACCCCAAAACTATGTAGAGTGAAAAAAAATTTTGGTTCAGAGGAATGTAAGAATATTAGAAAATAGAATAAAAGGGTAGGCTTACAGCAAAACGTCTGTTCTTGAGTAAAAGCAAAGATACTTTTTTGAAAATAATGATAAACATTATGGGAAGCTGAACTGACTTAAACACTTAAAGATCCAGACATAAGTGTGTACAGCTTAAAAATCACAATGGTACAATGACAGAAAAAAGCAAAGTCGTATTGATTTCATAAATTGAAATAATTACATTTAAATGGTATTTCTCTTCCATAATCATTAAAGATAAAATGCACACTTAAGAAACACATGTTTAAGGTACCAAAACTGTAACAAAAATATATGCTTATGAATCTGATTTAAAATACTCTTTTAACATTGGTATTTTGGTTTGCAAGCATTTTTGGTTATCTTTTGAAGTATCTACAATGATTAACAAAAGCAAGAGGGCCTCCAACTGCAAACTGTTAGGCTAAACTCTGTTTTACATATGGTCTTTTCAAGGCTCATTGAAAGGGAAGGAGAGAGATTTCACTCTTCCCAGAAGGTAGAATGGATCGGTTTCAGCTTTTATAGACCTCCAACACTACCACAAACAGGCATTCCTTTTCCTGCATGTCCTGAAGGAAGGAATGATTGTCTCAAAACACATACAAAATGTAATTGTGGGATACTGCAAACAGCCAAAGCTGCATGCCCAGTCTGCAACAGTCTAGACCACTGCAGCATAGTCAAAAGCCTGAAAGTCATTTCAACACCACCTGGTCTGGGGACAAGTAATCCTTCTCTAAAAATGATGCATTAAGCACTAAAAAACAGCAGTGAGAAGTCTTCAGAAGAACAGTTTGGAGCTATCTGAACGGATTGGCATGAGAGGCTTTCTTCCCATCTGAACGTGACATGACATGTACCAGGTCAGCCAAACCACTCTATCAGACGTCACTGCAAAGACTGAACAGAACTTTTAGTGCCACTACAGATGATAATAGAGTTAATACAGCAATAGTACAGGTCTTTTTCTCATACTACTTATGACGCAGATAGCAAAAAAAACATTCCAATTACAATGTAAAACAGCTTTACAATATGTCCTAAAGTGACACTGAGCAAAGGTAACAGGACACAGGTAATTTTTTAAAAAGCACAACATATTCAGACATTGTCACTGAACACTATGCATGGCTCATATTTTCCATTAGTGAGTGTTCAAACCATTTTCTTTTCTTTAGAAAAAGAACTCAGAATAGCTTTCTTTATAAGTTTACCTGCTGCAAAACAATAGGAATCCACTTTTCCTTGCCTTCTTCAGCTACTTCCAAAGTGTATTTGCTTCTATTTGAAATCATAAAAAATGGAGTGAAAGTTACAATTCTAGTAATACTAAAACTGCTGTTGTTTATGGTGACACCGACCTGTGAACAGAAAGACATTGTTAGAAGTACACTCTTCTTTTCTTACCTCATTTATATTTCCTGAAAGTAATGAATTTGAAAGATAGATTTAACTTACTTGATATTCCTTCTTATGACTCTTGCATTTCACAGAACCGTGACTTCCAACAGTGTCCAGTGAAAACTGATCAGACAGTTCACTGTCAGTTACCATAAGCTGCACCTATGAAGAGGCACCCTGAATTAATTGTCAATTTACAGACACTGGCAACATTTAAAATCATGTATCTAGTATGCATATATATATATAAACATAAGTGCATACTGGAAATACTGGTGTTTCTATTAAGAAGTCAAGACATAACAATTGCCAGTATCATCTCACAAAAAGATATTTTCTACCACTCCTAAGCTATGTGGAATAAGTGTTATAAGCATAAGATACTCCAAAGGAAGCAACCACATAAGGATCCTTTTCAAAACTTATCACAATTAAAATCTCAAAGGCAAACCAACAATCTTGTGATTATATACTATTCATCCATCAATAATATTCAGCATTAAAAAATTCACGTAACAGACTCAAATGGCAAACTACATCGTAACCTTAGCTTACTACCAACACAGACCCATTCTACCAACCAGCACTGCAAACATTCATCTTTCAAGTACCACAGCTTTACATTTCTTACGCAATTTATACATCTTACATAGAATTCAGGACCTTTATTGACGCACTTGAATTGGAATAAAGGAAATTCTTTTGTTCAGGAAACACTTCTCAGTGCACTTCATTCCTCTCAAAGATGAGAATCTCCTTCTTAACAATAGACTTGATAATGTAAATTTCACATCTCAAGTATCTCTGACAATACACTTCTTTAAAATATTCTGTCTTCAGATAAAGATAAAGTAGATTTCATGCTCTTCACAGAGCATAGCACAGTGCAGGTAACTTTCAAAGTGCAGCAACATACGGGATTACAGAGATGTCAGGTTTTACAAAGTACAATACCTTGTTATTTTGAAGGAAGTTCTTGGGCTGGAAAGAAAAAAGGAGTGGCTTTTTGTAATCAGGAGGATGCTTGCGGTGAATACCATCAGCTTTGTATTGCAACATTCGACCAGTTTTATTTACCATCCAGTATGGACTGTGAATTGCTATAACCATCTGCCCGGTTGTGTAGGTCACATGGACAGCAATATCCAGTTCAGTCTTATCCAACTCCGTGATGCAGTAAAACGTCATGAAGGTGATATCTGGTAGATTGCTTTTTACATGGTACTCACTTTTCCAATTTTGATCAAGATAGTTAAGCAACTGTAAATCTAGTTTTGTTTGATCCAAGACTGCATTATGAATCTGAGCTGAACATCCTTCTTGTAGAGTATCATATCTGTTCCCATTTCCCTTAAAAAACAAAAACCAAAAAATGTACATTTACATGAGTCACATTCAAAATTTGTATCAACTTCTATTTTCTAGCTAGCTTTGAAAATTAAAACAGGTTATTCAAGCAAAATTCTAAAATGTTTATTATGCTATTTAACTATGTTGCATTCTTAAACATCCACTTTAGCACATTTTAATAAAAAAAAAACCTCTGTGCATGGCCATCAATATTTAAAACACTCACAGAAAAACCTATCACCAAATTCAAATACAGAAACATGCTTAAATGACAGATTCCCCCAACTCAGTATTTCTTTCACTAAACTTAAATTTGTAAGAGGCATAGAGAAAAGAGCCTGTTACTTCCATACATTTGGTAGAGCAGTAGCTCTAGTAATTGTGCATTTGAGACAATATTTTATTACTAAATTCTACTATTTAAGTCCAAATACTAAAAATTAAGACCATTGAAAAAAAAAAAAAAAGAGTTTCAGTGTCTCCCATCTGTATTTCTATTATCTTAAGTCTGTATCAGTAAGCAATGGGACACAACCACGGCAGATCCACAGAATGGAAAATTTAGCGCTAAGGAACCAATGTCCACAAGGTTTTACTTGAGGTTGGCCCATTGTCTGTCTCCCTGTTAAGAGCTGAAGTGCATCTAATAGTTTAATTTCATCTGAAAAGAATATACAGTCTGGCACTAGGCTGCAATTCAAAAACTGGCATAAAGGCAGGCCTGCGAGAATTTGTTAAAAGCACAATACTGCTAGAAGTCAGTGACTGTGCATAAAATGCTACTGTAAGCTGACCCACATGTCACTTGAGGCACTCAAAATTCACAGGAAACTACACTTTTTAATTATGCTCAAACTGCACCCGAGCAACAGGAAGTGATTCTCTCACAGGGCTAAACTTGCACAGTGTAAGTTTTACTCTGCATACGGATCTGAAGTATGTCTTATTACTAATTATTAATACCATCAGTTCTTACAATCTGGTACTGTTTCATTTCTGTAGCTACAGACATGCCCTTGCAAGATCTGTGAATCTGCTTCATAAATACTCTTAACAGAAGCTGTTTCCTTTAATATCCATTTATAAATATATTCCAACCAGCTAGTCAGCTTTCATCTTATAGGTGGGAAACATCACAAAAAAATAAAACATTGAAGAATTACCTCTACAGAGTAGTTTATCTGATAAGGAAGAAGATTGCGGAGAAGAACAGAAGGCCATAAATGAACAACATATGGAAAATCCCATTGATCTTCTGCACATGATGAAGATGTCAATGTGTCTTTTACAGGAACAATATTGATGACAAGTGAGTGGTTAGTTGACCTCACAGACTGGCATTTCCTTTGTAATAAACTGTCCACATTTTTCATAATTTCTTCAAATGTAATTCCTTCACACAGATCATATTCTCCATCTACTCCATTTTCATTACCTAGTGGCTGCAAACTCAGTACAGACCTGTAAATGAAAACATTTTTTTAAACACTCAATATGAGATTATAAAAAGTACTATGCAACACTAACATTCTAGTATTATTTGGATTCTGGAAGACATCTGACAGTAATTCATTGTTTGCCGTCATCTTGCTTAAAGGAGGCAGCAAAAGGTGGTCTAGATTCCAAAAGTCCATGGAATTGTACCAGTTGGGGTTTTTGCTCCACACCTCCACATACCTCCCTCAGAAAGAAGGGACTGTTAGAGATTTCTATGAAGAAGCTACTGAATTCCCCTACAAGCGCTGCTATATTCCCATTCCAAGCAAAAAGTCTGGATAAACAGTTCACTCCTATGACAGATCTGCAGGAAGTGCCCTTCTTTCCAGTCACAAAGCGTCAAGTTTATGGATTATTTACATACATGACATACATGTAAGGCAACTGCTTTAATCCAATCAGCTGCTCCTTGACTGAATATTTTTGTTAGTAAACTTTTCCTGACTGCACAGTGGAACTCATCTATGCAGTGAATTTGAATGTCAGCAAACCTTACTAAATAAAATGCATCAGTAAAGTGTAAATCATTTAACGAAAAAGATACATAGCTGTTATGTTCAAAAACATGGGGAGAGCATTTAGGGGAAAACAGAAAGAAAAAGTCTCTGTAATCATAAAAAACAAAGCAAACTTACCTGCCTAAAAGTTGGTAACAGTTCAGCTAAACTGTACACACAAACTCACTGCAGTTTTAAGTGGTTATTAGCTTTAAGGTACTAATAGCATACCTATGCTGAAAGTCAAGTCTTTCTAAGGTTGACAAGTCTTTTTCTACATCTGTGACAGAGTTTAAATGTATTTGTTTCAACTATTTACTTCAGAATCACAAAAAAATCAAAAGAAATATTTAAAAAAAAACAACACAAAACTTTTGTAGTACATCACTAGACATCACTCCACTAAGAAGTCTGTACTGTGTAGGTAACAATCACAGTGTTCCAGAAGCATCTGGGCTCAGATTCTTTAAGTAACTTAGCTAATTTAAGATGCTCAGTAAAATGGATTTAAAAAGACTTCCAATTCAAGTATTAAAAAGTATACTGTTTAACTCGGACTAGATGCTCTGAGACAATCCTACCCAACAATAACAATGCAGTATTAATTACAGTATTAGATAGCAAAGGGAAACATTTTTTAGTGTAATTGTACAGAGAGAATAATCAACAATGCAATAAACATATTTCAAGATAAAAGAACAATGCAATAAAATACCTGTAAGAGGACAATGGTATGTTGAATTCATTTTCTGGTGAAGCAGTCCCTAAACATCTTCCTTCCTCAAATATATTTAATGGTATTGAAAAATGATTCCTTATCTATGTGAAATAAAAATTAAGCAATATACATTAGGAAAAACCAGAACGAGAAAGTGTTTTGAGCCTAACAGAGCACAGAATGAGAACCCTCTCATTGTTGATCTTACCTATATACCATTCAAGGTCAGGTATTTCAAAGGGATTGTCTCTAATACCAGCAAACCTCCTTAAATTATTTAGTTGTGCAGTTTAATGCTATGTTTTAATTATTAAATTAATAAATTGGCTGTAAAATTCTTTTCAAGGAGAAATATAAAGCCCTTTAAGATGAAGACAAGTCAATCTGCACTATATAATAACTTTCAAGAAAACTTTCTCCTAAAAAAAAATAACAGATACAGGATGTATGGACCACAGTCCACAAGGCAGAAAACAGAAGATAAGTCAAATATTCATTTAAGGCTACACTACCAACATCTATTACAATTTGGGGGGGTATATAGTTTTCTTGGTCTTCACAAACATTGTTCTTCTTATTTCAGGGTTAATTCAAAGGCATTATTAGCTCTGGAAAAAAAAGTTTAGGGAAGAAGAAAACAGTAAATCTGGTAACTAACCAAATCATCAACCACTCTGCATAGAAGTAGCAAGTGAAGTGTAACAGGGCCACTATCACTACAGAACACTAATGTCTGGATCATTCCTGTACTTGTAAACTATACAGTGTCAATAAAAAAAATATGCTTATATTGCTAATTTTTCAGCTGACTTGGTACTAAATCTGAAATTCATGTATCGATAGTATAAAATGAAGATAAATAATCTGATAGAAGGATACCCTTGAAGAACCAAGGCAAGGTTCAGAGGCTTTTGATCACTTTAGAACTCAACAGAACAAATAAGTCAACAAGACTGAAATTAGAGCTAGTATTAGAAAACATTACTGATTAATTACCTTGATCTAAAATCTGGTCCATTTCCACCCCCACCCCATCCCCTGTCTTTTGTCACCTTGGAAAAGCTTTTTATTCTCGAAAATTTCTTCTAAACTACCTTATAATACACAACAGCAAAGTCATATGAATTGTTCAGATAACTGTTTAAAATAATTTTTATTTTAAATGTTTATTTAAAGACTTCAGGATCAAATTTATTCATTAAAAAATAAAATAATAATGAAATTATAATTTATGGACATTTAATAACCTGAATAGGAGAACGTATAGTTATCATCTTGCTTCCTTCAACAGTATCAATTTGGCAGACGATGGACCTTTCAACACCTGACTCCTCGTGTCTCACTCTGTAAATACATCGACCCACTTTTGTCAATGGAATCTTTTCCACAGTG